TCTCTGTGTGATTTTTGAAAGGGAATTTCATGACTGTTCATAGCAATTAGCAGTATAGTAGGTGAATCACTCAAGCGGGATTGAGACCTGGTGAAATAAAATAGTATAAAATGGAGTTTAAGATAAAGATTTTGCTGGGTGGTGGCCCATGCCTTTAGTCTCAGCTTTTGGGAGGCAGAGTCAGATGCATCTTTGAGTATGAGGCCAGCCTTGCCTGCAGGATGATTTCCAGAACTGCCAGGTCTACATGTTTCAAAAAGCGAAACACCATTAAAAAAAAAAAAAAAAAAAAAAAAAAAAAAAAAAAAAAAAAAAAAAAGAAAAAGAAAAAGAAAAAGAAAAAAGGATAGAGACATTAGTTATTTACATTTTTTCATCAACTCATCAACTGCTTTTTGTTACATGCACATGGTATGTCCCGGCCACTCACAGCCTGCTGTGTTTCTGCCATCTCTGTCCCCCTCCCTCCTTCTCACAAATGTCCTTCTCATGTCCGTGTCTCTTCATTTTGTTGTGAGACCCACTGAGCGTTGCCAGGACCATCTGTGTGACCGTGAATCCTCAGTTGTGTACTGGAGCCTGGTGGCTTAGCAGTGGGCGCACAGCAGAAGACAGCAGCCCTCTCCTGGAGGCAACCGATAGCCAGCAGTTCAGCAATAGAGGTTAGGGTCCTGTGGACCCCCCAGCTTTCATGGCTGATTGTTTATACAGCGGGCTGAACTGCTGAGGGGCCCAAGGTTTTACTCTGTAGCCTGTGCTAGCCTGGAACTCCCAGCAACCCTCCTGCCTTCTAGCCTCATAGTGCTAGGATTGCAAGCAGGAGCTGCTGTACCCAGAGGGACAATGTTTGGGGGAATTACCTCCACCAAAACCATCTACTCAAAACCCTCCACACAGCTATAACTTCAGGTTTGTCTTCTCTTTCGATGTGTTCTGAAGGTGGTTTTGCTTCACAGGGCAAATGGGAGCAGTTCTCTGTGTGGAAGTATCTCAAGGACAGCAGGAATTAGCTGCCATGATTTTGGCTAAACCTCACAAGCTCCCTGGGAGGAAATGATCTGGTTCCAGGTTTACAAAAGGGCTAACCATTTCAGCTGTGTACTGATTTTGGCTCCAAGTAAACACAGAAGGAATTATGGGGGTAAAGTAGGGCATCTGAGCTAGTGCATAGGAGTGGCAACGGAAGATGTGGTGGTGGGTGGGGGTCAAGAGAGACTTTTGAGAAGGGGTAGAACTTTGGTGTGAGTGAGGGGCAGGTTTTTGGCCACTGGAGAATCACTGAGTCTGTCTATGGAAGGGTCCTAGTGAGAAATAATGTCTGTTTGTGCAAGGTGAGAGTTGAGGCTGCAAGTGTCTGATCTCAGAGGAATAGGACTAAGCTACCTCATGCCCTAAGTCCTCTCTCCACCTCCCTTTATCTCTTTGTCAGAGTAGACAGAAGGGCCAGCCATTGCTCTTGTCACACAGAGGCCCTCTTTCATGGAACTCTGTGCCACAGAGGCCCGCAGAAGGTGCCCTTTCCCACAGAAACAATAGGAAGAGAACAAAGGGAAATCACACTACAAGACAAGACTCAGACATACTGGGATGGGAGGCCCATTCACTCCACCTGAAGCCCCAGAGATGCAGCCTAACTGTCACTCAAGGGTACTCCTTAAAACATTAGCAGAGGACAATTGAAATAACTCATCCTGGTGGATGCCCTATAGTGGACACCTGGCCAGTTAGCCACTCAGGACATACTACTGAAAACTCACAAACCGTGTAAGGGATAGATAGCATTCCTTCTTTAGGAGAAACTTCACTAAAAGCCCAACAGCTACATGCTGCCCGTGAGGGCCACGGTGGATCTTCCAAAGATCATGTCCATCTAGGGTGTTGTTCTAGACTGGACTGGTGCATTCTCTGCCTCTCCCCCAGCTCCATATATGGCCATCTGCTGAAGACCTGGCCTGGCCCTCCACCTTAGAGAATAGCGTGGGACTTTGGGTCTTGTGCTACTGAGTTAGGCAATAAACATTTTCCTTCAGCTTCAGTCTTAATGAAGCCCGAGAGCTGACTGGCATGGGCTGTTTTGGGAAGGCCGCTTCCTTTTCCTCCTGTCTGGCATTTCTTTGAGCCTTATGGGGACAAATTTCAGCATTTCCTCTTCCAAGGACTATTTTGTTTTTATGCTATAAGAAGAAATTTCTGTCTTGTTTTTTTTTTTTTTTTTACCCCATTTATGTGAATAAGATATACAGTCCGTTTTTTGACAGAGAAATCTCTTTAGTGATGCTTCAAATTCCTCATGTGACCGAATAATTGCTTGTCCTTATGTTTAGTAATGATTCCTTGGTAATGCTGCTGCTGAGTGCTTTGTGCTTGCGGCACACTTAGAGTTTGTTCACGTGATGTGTTAAGCTCAGGGTTTAAGCCTACAGGGTGCTCTCAACAACCATGTGAGACAGGTATTATGTTGGGTTTTTTTACCCGGAGGAAAGTGAGGCATTGTGAAGTTAAGAAACTCTTTGAACGTGACTATACAGGTAGCTAACTAGGCATCTCAGATTCCATTCCAACCCTATCTGCCTTTTTCCTTTTTTCTTTTCTTTTCTTTTTTTTTTTTTTTGACAGGGTTCTTTTTTGTAGCTTTGGCTGTCCTGGAGCTCACTTTGTAGACCAGGCTGGCCTTGAATTCAGAAATGTGCCTTTCTGCCTCCTGGGATTAAAGGTGTGCACCATCACCGCCAGACTTCTTTCTCCCATTCTTAATGTGACATTTCAGGGGTATCTTTTCATAAATATCTGTTCAAGAACCCTAGCTATCAGGCTGTTAGAAATATTTTTATTGAAATAAGCCATGAGCCCGACACATATACCATTCACTAATCCTGTCCTGCTACACTGGCATGAAAAATTAAATAATGAGGTGTCAGCTGTAAGCAGAGTCATAAATTCATGTTTAAGATGTCCATGGGCCTAAGGAGCTTAAGTCTAACTGAGACATTATGGAGCCCCTGTGGCAAAGATCTGGTGACAAATGCGTGTCCGGGCCACCACGTGTGAGAGTATTCCAATGTGAAGCTGGCATTGCAGCCCTGTGCCAGGGACATTCAAGGTTGGCCATCTTCAGCGTGAAAATAGAGAAAACGATGGGTCCTCGTACAGTTCATTTTTGGAGGAAGCCAAGATTCAGGCAGATTAAGTAACTTGGCCAAAGTCATATAACTTTATGTGTTAAGGAAAACAGAATTTATAAAAACGTGTTGTTTCTTTAGCTCATTTGCAGAGGCCGTCATGTCTAAGTCAACAGAAACTGTGAGTTGACAAGAATATAAAGTCTTTGGAGGACTCCTTAGGATTTAGGAGGGTGATTTTAAGTGTCACCCTTTGCATAAAGCACCCTTGGTAGTGCTTTATGTGTGGTATGCTGGGTCAGTTGCTGTCAGGGAAGGTAAAGAAGACCAATTGAATTAACAACCTTTACTCTGAAGTTTGGTCTAAAACATTTTTCATTTGACTGAAGTGGGCTGGCTCCTTTTTGCTTAAGAGTTTTCTGACCCACAAACAACTGAGAATCTATTTTTCGTTTCATAAAATTCAGGTCCTGCCATATTTGTGTAGTCCTGTTTAAAAGCTGGTGCTGAATACAATTGTCTTCCAGCAAGTTGTTTTGTTTAATTGGGGACCTGCTGTATAGATGACTGTCCCAAACTGTTGAAGAAAGAAATAACTTAGTCTCCACGTCTCTAAATTCATCACAGGCTTACATACTTGTAACCTGAGACTTGGAGTTCAAGCCATATGTGGAAGGCTGCAAATAGCAGCATAGGCCACAGAGCCTGCTTTCAGCCATGGAGAACTCTACAGAGGGGCCACCCCATCTGTAGCTGCCTTACCAAAGAATCTCAAGGGAGAAACCACAGCAAATTGTTAGTGGTCCAGTGATCTCTCCTGCTTCAACACAAGTTCCCACATAAACCAAGGACTGGATGATTACCCAACAGGTGAAGGAAATTATACATGGTATTTGTTGCTCATTAATTTTTCTTCCTTGCAGTTCCCAAAGGGTCTGCGATCAACTAGAGCCTGAGGCCTCACACGCCCAGCTGCCTTTGCCCAGCTGCCTTCCTGCTTCTTGGCCAGTCAAGAGCTGCTCACAAGTGTCACTCACACACCAGGTGGGTAACTGAAGGCTTTTTCATGTGACAATCAGAGCAGTTCCTAGTTTTCCCTTCTCTCCTCTTCTGTCCTCTCCTCTCTTCTCCTCTCCTTTATCCTCTCTCCTCTCCTTTCGTCTATCTCCCCTTCTCTCCCTTCCCCTCGTCTTCCTTCTCCTTCTCACTCCCTTCTTTCCCCTCCCTTACTCTCTATCTTCTTCCCTTCCTCTTCTTTCCCCTCCCCTCTTCTTTGTTCTTCTCCTCCCCGCCCCCAATCCCACCCACTTTCTCTCTCAACAGGATCTCTTGCTATGGAGCCTGAGCTAACCTTTAACTCAGGATCCCCCCTCCTCTGCCTCCTGGGTCCTGGGATTAGATGGGCACCTCTATACTCGTCATTCAAGGGCTGATTTTTTTTTTTAAAGGATAAACTCTACTACTGTCTCTTGATGAGGAGATGTTGTGGGTGCTGAGTGTTGGGTGACAGGTTCTAACTTATTTTGCGAAGGGATGGGATGGGACTGGACAAATAGGGTTGAATGGCTACCCTGAGATGGGACCCCCATTTTCTTGGCTGTCCTGGACTTGCTTTGTAGACCAGGCTGGCCCTGAACTCAGAGATCCACCTGCCTCTGCCTCACTGAGTGCTGGGATCACCCACCACGCCCTGCTGGTACCCCCCATTTTAAATCAGTCTGTCAACAAGGAGGACTGTTGTCATCAGAAAGAGAAACCTCAGTTTCCCCCTTCTTTTTTCTTTTGTTCCAGCCAAGCTTCAGAGGTTTCCCAAGCAGGCACTGCCTCTCACCCGAGCAGACTGGAGAAGTGATACCTACAACTAATGTCTGAGATCCTGAGAACATAAACCTGGTGACTCTCTCCTTCCTCTATGGAACCTGCTTCAGGAGCCCATTGAGGGTTCTATCTCCTGGGATCCTGGACTCCTAAACGGGACTTCAGAGAAGGAAGATGCTGAGTTCTATCAAGTGCGTGTTGGTAGGGGACAGTGCTGTAGGGAAAACCTCACTATTGGTGCGCTTCACCTCTGAGACCTTCCCGGAGTCCTACAAACCCACTGTTTATGAGAATACGGGTGTGGACGTCTTCATGGATGGCATCCAGATCAGCCTGGGTCTCTGGGACACTGCCGGCAATGATGCCTTCAGAAGCATCCGTCCCCTGTCCTACCAGCAGGCAGATGTGGTACTGATGTGCTACTCTGTGGCCAACCATACCTCATTCCTGAACTTGAAGAACAAATGGATTAGTGAGATCAGGAGCAACCTACCTTGCACCCCGGTGCTGGTTGTGGCCACACAGACTGACCAGAGAGAGATGGGACCCCACAGGGCCTCCTGCATCAATGCTGTGGAAGGGAAGAGACTTGCTCAGGATGTGCGAGCCAAGGGCTACCTGGAATGCTCAGCTCTTAGCAACCGGGGAGTGCAGCAAGTATTTGAATGTGCTGTCCGAACGGCTGTCAATCAGGCCAGGAGACGAAACAGAAGAAAGCTGTTCTCCATCAACGAATGCAAGATCTTCTAAACCCCAAGGTCCCGCACCTAGCATTCATGAACTTACCTCAAAGACTAATGGGAGAGGAGAAGGCAAGCCAAGGGTTGATGCTCTGTCTTGGCACATCTGAACAGCCTTTCGGGATGGAGTTGTGGGGAGGTTGGCCACTGATGCTTCCACTAACTACACTCCACAGATGAACTCCGTGCCCAGCACAACCAGAGGGATTCCTTGGGAAGCCAAATGACTAGTCCGTCTTCAATAGGAAACTAAAACAACCATCCTAATTCAGACAATTTCCCAAGTATGCCATATTTAAACTCACATTTTATTTAAATAATAACCAAATAGGTAACTCTTGTTTTCATGCTTGGGAAGTCTTTTCCTGAAAAGGCAAACTGCTGTATGAGGAAAATAACATTGTGGAGCTCAACCATATGTCTGTGGTGTTATTATTTTACCTGAATTTGATTTGGCTGAAACTACTTGTGGGCTGTGTTTTTCTAGATAATCAAACTTTCCAATGACCACAAACTGATCCCTGTAATTCATTTTTTCATTTCCCTATTATTCAGAGTTGTGTATAAAATACAGCCCCAGATCAGGAGGTGTTTTAACACTGCCAAATGATTTTGAACGGTTACTAGTTTTTCTCTGTAATTACAAAAGAACATTTCTTCTTTACAATATTACCTACCACTCAGAGGACTCCAGTTACACACTAACTATTCCTTTCTCGTTCATTAACACAGAGAGAGAAGGAAAATCTTTCAGCTAGAGGGTCCCACTGCTCCAAGAAATAGCATCAGAACTTGGGGCAGATGCAAGGAGAGTGATTTTCCTGCCCTATCTCCTGTGCTCCCCCACTGGCTGCAGGTCCCTGGAGAAGAGGACGGGGGTTCTGAATGATATTTAATTTGACAAAGTTGTTCTCATCTGAACTCTAAACTGGCTGACACAACCCCATCCTTTATTAATTTTAAGACTGAATTAAAATAATTAGAAAAGTGCCTATGTATGTATGTATGTATGTATATATATATATATATATATATATCAGATATGTATATCTGTGAATACATACAAGGGGAAAGGCAGGATTTATGACTTTTACTGATTCATGAATAGATATTCACTTGTAAAAAAAAATCATTACAAATCCCAAGTTAAGAGAAAAAGAAAGCCTGAGGCAGTTCCTCAGACACTAAAGAGCTGTTAGGGGAAATGCTAAATAAACAGGGGTTGTGCATATACACAACCCTCCTTTCTAGGTGTTGGAAAGCAATGGTGCCGTTCCCAGTCTCTACACCCAGATATATCACTCACAGTTCCAATCTGATAACTAGGAACCGCGTGGACCAACTTTCTTGGAGTCCAGCACTGTAGAGGGTTGTGTAGCTGTCACCATGAAGGGTGAAGAGTCTGCAGGAGCAAGTTTAATGAGGGTTATGCTGACCTAAGTGGATCAGTTTGTCATATTGTTCCTCTGGCTGATTCTTTGCACTTACAATCTGGCAAGGGTATCATATAATGAACCACCGCCCCCCACCCCTGCTGCTAGCGCTTTGTCTCTCTCTTCCCCGCTGGGTCAGAAGCCTAGGATCTGGATGTTGGTTGGTCTCAGGCAGAAGAACTGATTTCCATTTGCTAGGGCTAGTATGTTTGCGTTCAGCTCATCTTTCAGCCTTCTGGTTCTGTGGCTTGTCCTAGTTTCTGGGCCACCTATGTCCCTTGACTTGAGAGCTCTTGCCTTCAGCTCGTGGCACTGGGCATCCTGAAGGTTGGAATGCTGAGGAACTGAGCCGGGGGGGGGGAGCTGGGGGTGCAGAGGAGAGACAGGGACATGTCCTCCATGTCTCACATGTCCCTCTGATTCAGTTCTCATTCTCCAACACACAAAGGCTTTTTTATTTCTTTTGTCTTTCTTCGATGTGTGTGTGTGTGTGTTATTGTTGTTGGAAATTGAAACTCTTTGATCTTTGCTCACAATGTAGCCCAGGATGGGCTCAAACTTGCAGTGGTCCTCCTGTCTCAGCCTCTCCAGTGCTGTGATTATAGGTGTGACCTACCATACCTGGCTTACAAAAGGTCTTTAATAGCAAACACAGCTTCATGATTCATCTTAGCAATATTTTAAAAGCACATTGAAGAAACGAATTGCCACACACTATATTGGATATACCCTAATATTTTCTTTTCTTTCTATTGAAGGAAGGTGAGGTCTGGGGAGCATCTAAAAATGGGAAGGACCTGAGAAGGAAGCGGGAGTTTCGTGGTGGAAGCAGAGGAGGGGAGGCCAGAGGAGATGCTGATGGACCTGGAGTGGGGGCTGCCTGTTGATAGGAACCAGTGTGAGGAAGGAAGCCTCACGCTGGAGCACCGGAACACATGTAGAGCCTCTGCAGTGTGCACCTGGGGGAAACCGCACCAACCAGGGGTTCTGGTCCCTGCTAAACTCTGTGTCCCCAAGGCAGTGCTACTTCCTAATTAGCTCCAAGTCCCCAGGGCCCAGGGTAGGGAAGAAACCTTAGCTAAATGAAGTGTGAATTCAGCTGGAGAAAGAAAGGCAGAAATTGGGCCTCTAAGCAGTTAAGAAGGAAGCAGACCTGAGCAGGCCTTGAAGAGGTAAGGACTGAAAACAGGACCTGGTGGAGGAAGGCAAACCTCACAGGGCTGTACGATCAATTTTGTATGACGACATGAATAGCATGATTCTTCCCCTTCAGTCTATACGGTGCTTTTTTGTATAGTTCACCTTCACTGTTGCAGCAAAATTAAATATACTAATGCCTATGTGAAAAAGTGGATTTGAGTGGTTTTTGTTGTTTGTTTATTCACTGCAACAGATCATGGTGTGGCCTAAGCAGAATTCTGGGGTCTGGGGTCGGGTGCCAACAGTCAGGCTCCATGGAGAAACCTCGTCCTCGTCTGATGCTCTCTTCTTGCTATGTCCTCATCCCATCTCTGAAGGCCTCCCCTTTCTGACCGCATTATCTCTTAATACTGTCACACTAATCAGGCTTCAGAGGAACAGTTTTGGGGGAAGGGACCCCACACATTCCCTCACAGCAATGCTAGTCTGTCTTGCTTTAATCCATCCTAGCTAAACGGGGCAAGAGAATATTGTAGCCTGATCCAATGACAAGACAACTGAAAACACCCTGATGGTTGAAGTATGCAGGGTGCTTCAGATATCTGCGCACCGTGTTAAGCTCATTATCGTAATACATGGCTTATAGGTGGCTCACATGAGCAGCCTGAGCCTCAGCATGTTAATGGGACAAGCCTGTGTGACACAGCCGGTGGGGAGCTGAACTACGAGCCTGGAGCAGGTCTGCTAAAACCACCATGCCCCACTTCCTCCCCGAGCAGTTAGCTCAATGGCTTTGCCACATCCGATCTCCTGTAGCAGCGGGCCTCGCTCTACACTAGTCAAAGAACCTGTATTTAAAAGATGGTGGTGGTGGTGGTGGTGGTGGTGATGATGATGATGATGATGATGATGATGATGATGATGATGATGATGATTTGGGGCTGTTCGTTCATTGTTTTCTTGTATGCAGCCCATGCTGATCTCAAACCATGGTGCTCTTTCTGCCTTAGATTCTCCAGTGCTGGGATTACATGCATACCAAGCAGACATCCCCATACCCAACTTTCCTGAGAGAGCAACAGGGGAGAAGAGAGCTTGGCTTTTTCCTTGTTCAAGATCTGCTTCCCAGGAAGGGTACTTTACCCAGAATGAGATGTGGTAGAAGGATTCTAGCTTGACTAGGCCTAATGTCCGAATTAATCCTGAGGACTCTTAAAAGTTATCTTGACATGAAAATGCTACATAAAAAGGTACAAATAATGAAAGTGTAAGAAGTTAGACTGTGAAACACTCTGGAGTCGGAAAATCTGAGTTGAGTGTCTTCCAGCCTCAATCCCCTTTTCTTAAAACATACGTACTAAGTTCTAGGACACTCTGCAGAAGGATTTGTATAATGATCGTTGGAGAACTTTATGCCTGTAAACTTCCATTCAGTCATGTTATCATGTGTCTGCTGGATCCCTGTGCTGAAACATAAACTGAATCTCTAATCAGATCAGAATTTTCTAGAAGTGTCATCACGTGGACAACATGACGGGAAAACCACACAGAAGCAGATTCTACTGATAATATTGCCAACTGAAGCAAGATGGATAAAATGACACATAGAATAATAAAAACAGCAACAAACTCCATCTGAATGCCTACCGTTTCCAGGCCTCTGTCAGCATTTTTCAGACTCTACAGTCACTTTTCAAATGTCCCAGCTTTACCATCCAATTTTCTTATATACAAAGTTGGCCTGCTAAGTTATATGATTAATGAGGTTCAGTGGTCATTACAGTTGCTGGGCTAGACAGGGTGACTGATCCCTGTCACCCACTGCAGGGCACGCTGCTGAGTAGAGTTTGGCAGTCTTCCTGAATGACCTCACTTCTGTCATTCTCCCTGTGGCTTTCTCAGATGAGCACGCACTGTCCTGCCAGGCTGTGTTTGCTGTCACCGCTTGCTGGGTCTGCATTTCTCACTGTCCCTACCTTTCAAGCTAGTCCATGGACCCAGCACCCCAGTTCTCTTTTTAGCTGCTTCTATGCTAGCAGGCGGTCAGAAGGAAGAAGGAGAGCATAGGTGACTCTCTTCTTTCACCCATTCTGCTTTGGTGCTGCTTATCTACAATGGCCAAATCCCCCACCTCAGGGTCCTCTCCTGGATCCTCAGTCCTAAGGAGAATCAAGGCTTCCTTCTGAGTCAACGCCCCTATGGGATTTCTTTATGGAGGTCTCTGTCTCTCAAGCAGTGCTTTCATTCAAGCCTTTCCTCGGAACCATCCAGAATAAATTTGGCTTCTCACTGGATTCATTAAATATCTGTATGTTTTGGTGTTTGTTCAAACTACCACTGGAAAGTGAGGGTTTAGGTAACTAACTGCCCTCCCCTGAGCCATGAAATAAAAAAAAAAATCATTCTACTCATCTCTCAGCTTGGGCTAGAAAGGAGCAGTTGATTACCTATTATGATGGCTCTGGGGTGGTAATGTTTTTCAACGACATGATTATACCGAAGAAACTGTCAGTCTCCATAATGCATCAGGGGTGACTAGCAGCCATCAGGAAAATCACCTCAATTTGAAGAGAGAGATTTGGCTCTAACACTGTGGTGCACACATGTGATCCTAACCGTGGGAGAGCTGAAGCAGAAGGACTAAAAGTCTGAGGTGAGACTGGCTAATATATCAAGACCCTGTCTAAGAGACCCTGTCTATTTCTTGGCAGAGAAACTACATATGACCAATGAACAAAAAAAAAAATCATATACATACTCATGGATCTGTTGACAAAATCCATCAATGTCATTCTTTTTCAAACCACCTTATCAGGAAAAAAAAAACCAACCAAACAAACAAACAAACAAAACCCCCAAAAGAACAAAATTGAAAGTATGGTAACACCGAGCATTGACAGGGACATGACACAGTGGGAGAGCCTGAGTGTTGCCGATAGAGTGTGAGTTGGCATAGCGCTCTGTCTTTACTTAGTACAACAGTATTTTATACTGGTGACCTCCCACCCCAAAAAATATCCATGCCCAGAGATAGACCTACATACATTTCCAGGATGACATGAGTAAGATTGTGCTTAGTAGCATGCTAGATAGTGACAAAGCTAGAAACAATACAAGGTCAGATGAAGTCCATCTCAACTTTGGTGTGTTCACACCTGGACCACAATGCAACACTGAAAAGGAATGGTGTGTAGCTATATATTTTAGAGTGGGTGAGTGCAGACAAATGTGAAGGAGAAAAAAAAATGCAAATAGAAAGATAACCTAGCATTATTCCATTCCCATGATGCTCAAGTGTGAGCTAAGCTTAATATTTAGGGTTAAAAGTGTTTGGAAGAGTAGAATTCGAATTAACGGTTCCCTCTTCTTATGAGATAACAGATGGGAATGGCTAAGGTCACCAGAGGTTTGACAGATATTAGTCACATTCTTAAGTTGGAAAGTCAGTAGTTGAGCGTTCATTATTTTTTTAAAAACCATACACATTTTTATCCACTTTTAAAAGTCTGATATAATTAACAACTTCAAATACTTTTGAAGAGTTGGAGTCTATGGTCAGCTCCTCAGACTTGCATCCCAGCTCTGCCACCCCCGAGCCTCATTTGAGTATCACCATGAGGGGCATGCTGTATCATGTCACAATCATTATTTATCTCTTCCTTTCATAGTGGCCTTCTCAGCCCCAGACTGTGCAGATAGCCAAAATTCCTCATTCTGTGGCATTCGCATACAGTTTGAAATGAGTGAGCAGACAGTAGTCGTGTAAAGAAATCAGATCAAGGTAGGTGAGGGATCAGTGCAAAGAATAAAACAAACTGGGGAAAGGGAGCCAGGCTTGGCAACTGGGTTGTGGAGACGGGCCTCACTGAGGAATGGGTGGCTGGGGTGGCTGTCGGTGACAGTGCATCTGTGTCACCATTTTAAAGCAAACGGCCCTTCTGTAAAAGAAAGCCAGCTTGAGAAGGATGCACAACTGTTACTCTTCATCAGTTTGGTGTTGCAAAGCCTTTCACAGGAGCGACAGCCTTTCCTGGGGCCTGCTGCCATCTGCCCGCCTGTGAGGAGGCCCTGAACCGGGCTGTCTGCAATGGGGGCTAGCAAACGGCCTAGAATAGAACAGCAACACAATTCACAGAAGCAGAGCACAGCCTAGAGCTCCCACCAGCAAGTACTTTCTAACGGATTCTGAGTAAAAGGAAGGAAACAGTAGCACTCGGGATAGAGATAGGGCTCAGAGCCAAGACCACAGAGTGAGGGTGAGAACGGGCGGGCGGGCTGGAGGCGGCAAGGCCCCGCCCTCCGGAGCCCACCCCTTGAAGCAGCTGGACATTCCTCCTCCCGACAGTGCTGTTGTAAACCAGCATATGTAAGGTGCCTCGGTCCTTCTGGAACTTTCACACAGATTGAAACAGATGGAAGTGTAATTCAAGCGCATCCCTAGCCTGAACGCCAGGGCAGCTTGGCCCGTCATCTTGGGAATTTCCTGAGGATTTGGACGGAAGGTTTTTCTTAAGGTTTCAGAGAGCCTTGAGTTAATCACTGTACTTGTGGACTGTCCTTCCTTCTCCATTACATCTTGCCCCACATCTCTGTCTTTACCTCCTCCTCTCATCATCGCTCTCCACAGACAGGTACTCACCTCAACACCTCAACCATCTGAAACAGTAGCTGCTGACTGCCGCCACCCCCGCCCACTGTGTGCGTGTGTGTGCGTGTGTGTGTGTGTGTGTGTGTGTGTGGTATGTGCTGTGTGCGACGGCACCTGCTTGTTTGGTTTCTGTGTGAAGGCCAGGGCACAACTTTGTCATCTTTGCTTTCTACCTTGCTTGAGAGGCAGGATCGCTCTGCATACTCCAGGCTAGCCAGCCCCTGGGCTTCTGGGAGATTCTCCTGCCTGTCG